AGTCAGACATCAAAGATGGAAACAAATAATAAAAATACATCAACACCAAGGTAGATGGCAGACAGCTGAATGGACTGAGCAAAACAAAGATTATTACTTGCACAAGATGACAGGGTTCTGGCGCTGAAGTGAGAAGTGAGAAACAGATACTAACCACATTGACCATGAAAGTCTTCTGCATGGCCTTTGCCAGTGAGCTAAAACAGTCCTATGCCCAGCTATGTGCCCAGCTTGCAACTTTAGAATATATAGATTAAAATTAAATTAAGCTTTAAGAAATTAAGGTGTTATATAATGTGGTAAAATGTGTTACTGATTAATTGCAAAGGTTAGGAGCTAAAAGCTTGCACAATAATATGCAATAGACAGCTGCTTCCTATTTTCTGCAGAATAATGATAAAGCAAATATGCCTTAAAAACCTCATTTTTAAATTGCTTTTACATATGCCACATGTACACACTCAACTGTATAAAAATAAAAAAACTCAAGAGCCCAAGTAGAGATGCCTGGCTGTTGAGCTTGAAACTGCACCTCTCGTGTCATTCCTTCACCGACGCCATCCATCCATTGGGAATCCCTGGACCTGCTGGGGCTGGACTCTGGCAAATGAGAAGCCATTATGAACAGAGCAAAGGATCCATCTGCCTTGACTTGTGTGAGGATCATGAGGGCTGCAGTGTAGAGTAGATGGCAAGGGGAATTGGAAGGAGAGATCATTTCAGTAGTGAAGAGATTCTGTAATGGGCCATTGAGCAATGAAGAAGGCCTAGACTAGACTAGAGATGGAAGTGTTGTGGAGTGCTCATATTCTGGATAGACTGTGGTGCTGGCAGGGTTTGATGATGGATGGCCAAGATGTGGTCTTTGGCTTAAGGAATTTTGGCTGGACTTGTGAAAATAAAGCAAAGTAAGTAAAATGCCTAAAATTTGGTAGCTGCTCAAACACATGAGTTCCTTCCACAGTCCTTTGAGGTTCATTAGCTTCTGCAGCGCCAGGCTTCCCCAGCGTCTCAGCATAAGTGGAGCATAGTCAAGAGTGGTATGGGTGAAAAAAGACAAAAAATATAGTATGAAATCCCACATCGATCAGATCTGAGTTTAGATTTTTCACCAGAAGTTCTCCCTTTATCAATTAGATGCCTAAATCATAAATGACATGGGGAAGAGAGAATAAAATAAAATAAGGCTATTATCTATTGCCTTCTATATCTTTGATTACGTAGTTTTCAGGGTGAACAAAAACGAAAAGGTTAAGCACTACATTATTTTGTATCTATCAATAGGACAAGCGGAGGCAAGAATTGCTTGAGATGACGTACAATCTTTCTTAGAACAGCACTGATGAAATTCATCATAGGTTTTCACATTGAAGCACAGCCAAGCAACATAAACAGTGTTTCTCAAGGCTCAAAGCTTTAATCCAAGTAGATTTAACTAAACCTTGAAAAGTAACAATCATCAATGGCAGAAGATTTAGTTCCAGAAGGAAGCAATGAAAAAAGAAGTTCACTGTACATGATAAATACTGACAAATGGGTGGGAAAACCATGCTTAAATATATTTAGCAGAATATTTAGCTTTTGAGAAGAAACCAAGTCATTTGGTTCAAATCTGTCCCTGAAATCTAGTTTTCAATGATTAACTGTAAGGCCACCCTTCTCTATGTGAGTGCTAAACCAACTTTTTGGGTGCAGCCTTGATTTTTCTTAGTACTCTGTCTTCCTAGATGTATCTCCATGGAAAACATTGAGCCTGGCATGCTCCTAGAATAAAGCATCCAAAGGTCCCTTAGGTCTTAAAAATAAACTAAGATTTAATCTGCCTCCTGCCAGGTCCTTGGCACTCAGTTTAATTCTCACAGTACTGCTCTACATTGACTATCATTATTTTCAATTTTCATAGGTGACACTTGAGACTAAGAAGCCTCACAACTGCTATGACCTAAAACTGAAGTATTACTGAGCTGAGACAGATTCTCAACTCCTCATCTTGAGCTTTACTGTCCTTCCTTCCAGTACATTCTCTATCATTAGCCTATATTTACACTCTCTAAGCCCCTATATATGATTCATCATTATTCAAAAACCATTCACTTCATGGTTTCCCAATATTTATCAGGAACAACTTTAGTTAGACAGAAAATTTTATCAGCTTTAGGGAGTATTGCATTATACTTAGCCTGACTGTTTTCCACTAGTCACAGCCATACTTCAGAGTTTGCAGTATGTGACAGGCTAGAGCAAAAAATGAACTCATGTCAAACCTAACTTCACCAAACCACTGCAGTTGAATGGGCTGATATGTGTGTGTGAGTGTGTGTATTTACAAACAGTGTATATGACATTCTATATGGCTCTGTGGGGCAGAGCTCAGCAGATCATTGCTCACTGTTGGAAACCCCTTCCTTTAATCCTAGTCCTTTTCCCCCTTGTATTATTTATTATTATTTCTACCTTTAAGAGGAGCATAGCCTTACCGGGGGAAACGCTGAGTAGCACATAATACATGACTCCTTCAATGCTAATGTAATTTAGTGAACTGGCCGAACTCCACCACTGATAACTGTTTGCGTGCATGTATGTGTGTTTATGGTCCAAATTAGCTTGTGGCTCAAAAAGAAGAATATTATAATTAATTAAGTGAATGGCAACAGAGTATTTAATATGAAACAGGTATCATGTTACATGTTCTCTTTGGAACTAGGCTCTCATAACAACAGGATTATGCATGGTTCAATATCAAACTATGATGGAAGAGGCTACACCAACAAGAGGACAGCAGTTGCTGTGATTACCACTGATGTTATTACTGAGTCTTTCCTTTTTCTGGTGTTCTAAATTATGGAAAACACATTGATTTTGTGTTAACAAATGGGAGTAGTGAAGGGCTAAAAACATAGCATGAGTAAAATACAATTTGTATTTGCTTCAAAAAGGTAGCCTGAAACATAAACATGGATTATGCCTATTCAAAGGAGTTGAGAGGCTAGCTAATTACTAGGTTATTTTATCTGACTGCTTTAAACCTCTACAAGTTTTTAAATGAGCAGATATTTGAAATCATGAACTACAAATATTTACTAAGTGGCTGATTTTTAAACGTTTCATCTGATGCTTTCTTTGTGTTTAATGGAATCTGCATCCCCAAATAGAAAAGACAAATTCATATACCTACCTATCTTCTGAACTCAGATTTCACCATATTTTACTTAATCTAGGATAGATATGGGGTCCTTTGGGGAGTAAAAAAAAAGGCAATGAATCCTCAAAGTTATGATATCTTATATAAGTACCTGACTTGGTAAATGTTTGTTGACTTAGAGGCAAAATTCATTTGTATATGCTAAATTGTGACTGTTTTAGGTAAAGTTCATGAATGCAAACTCTTTTTCACAGTTTTAATTTAACTTAAAGTTGGGGCAAAAGGATGTTAGTTATGTTTATGTTATGCATTATCTGGCACTGTAGATGCACTGCTTTCTATTCTTGAGTTTATTCCACACTAGTCCCACCAACCTATGTATATAGTTGTTCTTTGTATTTCAAAACAGTCTCTGACAATGAATTGTATTTTCTAGCTTCAATGATCAGGGGCTTTCTCTGACAGCACCTCTGTGCTTTTTATTTTTCTTCACTAAAAACCCATTTACTGTGTGTAAAGAATTTTCAAATGCACAGGTAAGAAGTATTATTATTATTCTAGTATGCTTCTAGCTTTTACTGTTATTCACATTATCTCCATTTGTAGTCTCCTCTCATGAATGTATGAGCTTGTCTCAGCTGTGCTACAATTCCCTCACTGTATTTTGATACTGTAAGTGTTTGCATATTGACTTTTTCTTCTTAGCACCATTCATAACATCTCCCAACACATGGCCACCATAGAGTTTAATTAACCTAATGTTGATATATTTCCCTGTAGACTATTAACCAAGATACAGAAATTGTGTTATTAAATTGGACTATTATTATATTGCTATGTTCTCTTTAGGATTTCTAGAGATTAAATATATTAAATCTATAGCGAACTAAATTGCTTAATTTGTATCAATTTTTTAAAAAGGAGCACATACACATACATACACAGACACACCACACACCTCTAACACAGCACCAAAATCCAAATTTTATTGGTTGTGTATATATTTTCATATTATTTAACCTAAATAAATTATAAACTTCGGCTCACCTACTATATTTAGTTCTAATTTTTGTGTAACCTGCTAAGATTTCTGGAAGACAGAGAGAAATGTTAATATAGGAAGTTAAGTGAGTGAAAATATACAATAGTAGTTGGAGGCTCAAAGTTCTAGAGCCAGGCTGCCTGGGTTCCAAACCTGGCTCCTATACTTTCTGGGTATGTGACCTGGGGTAAGTTTCTTAATATCTCCGTGACAGACTGTATGTGTTTCCCCCAATTCATATGTTGAAGCTTCACCTCCAATGTGGCTGCACTTGGAGATAGGGCCTTTACACACTGGAATACTACTCAGCAGTAAAAAAGAAAATTTTACCCTTTGCGACAGTATGGATGGACCTGGAGAACATTATGCTAAGTGGAATGAGCCAGAGAAAGACAAATACCATATGATTTTACTCACATGTTGAATCTAATGAACAAACTGAACTAACAAGCAAAACAGAGACAGGCTCAAAGATGGAGAACAGGATGACAGCTGGGGTGGGGGAGGTTATCATGTGGAGGGATGGAACAAAAAAGAAGAAAAGACTCATGGACATGGACAACAGTGTGGTGGTTGCTGGGGGGCAGGTATAAGGGGATCAATTGTAATGGGAAAAATACAATAAAGATTAAGTAAATAAAAAGAGAGGTAATTAAGGTTAATTGAGGTCATAAGGGCGGACCCTAATCCAATAGGACTGTAATGTCCTCATAAGAGGCAGAGACATCAAGCTACTCTCAGTGGGCACTGAAGTAAGGCCATGTGAGGACATAATGAGAAGGTGGACATCTGTAAAGCCAGAAAGAAAGGTCTTACCAGAAACCAACCCTCTGGTACTTTGATCTTGGACTTTCAGCCCCAGAACTGTAAGAAAAATAGTTTTCTGTTGTTGTCACTCAGCCTGTAGTATTTTGTGTAGCAGCTCTAGCAGAGACCAATACAATCTCTAAAATAGATTTCAGTTTTCTGGTATAAAAAATAACACATATCTGATAAGGAAAATTAGATTAAAAAGTCATTTCTATTACTCAGCATACACCTGGCATATAGAAAGATTTTAATAAAAATTATTTATTATTAATTTTAATAAGAGGGTATTTAATCTGCCAGAAACCAAACAGATGGCTTTAACCTGAAATACATTCTTTCTTAAGACATAAATAATGCTTTTAAACAAAGAGTGAATAAAAACTTCCAATATGAAAATATTGCCAGAACAAGAATGTAGATGAATTTATTCTCTAATAAAAATGTTTGCCATTATTTAGATAACAAGTTGTGCATAATAAAGTCAAAACTATAAATTAAAATTGAAAATAAGAGTAAAAAATGAGATATGGCTTTAAAAAACATTTTAATGGTTTCTTTCATTTTGCAGTCTCAATGTTTGGAATCATGTAGACACAAAGTTTTGCCACAGGATTTAAGCCACTTTCTGGTAGTTTTAAAGGTATCTTATGAATCTAATTAATTTTCTAGAATTAAGTAGATCAGAATTTCCTTCTATTTCTTTTTATATATATTAGCCTGATTTTTCAACAAGATTGGCTGCTTTTCAAGAAAGCCACAGATTACTGGGTATGGATGGACCCATTCTTCTCCTAAGGTTCAGACTCTCTTTAGGTTCTGCCAAATATTTCATCAGAGAACAGGTTATACGTGTTGTTCTTAAAAAGCAAATACGTTACTTACTCTTAAAAAATGGCTTGATACCAAATTCTTCTTAGAGTTCTATTCTTTTCTAGATGTATACAGAGTTCTAATTATTTGGGGGGACAAATTGGATTTACTCATTCCTGAAAAGAAGCGATATTTCTTCTTTTATAAAATGAAAGTGATACTCAATCAGGTCTAGTATTATATTATTATTATTTTTAATTGAAAGCAGTTTTCAGTACATACTTGCATATTTGTAGCCCACTCTGAAAGTTCAAGGTGATCTACTTGACATTTGTCTTTGACAGTTTCAGATGTTTTTTTTAAATTTTATTTAAATCATTGTTCAAGTACAGTTTTCTGTCTTTTACTCCCATCCAAGCCCACTCACCCATCCCTCCCTCCCATTTCCATCCCCCCCCCCCAGTTTTTGTCTATGTGTCCTTTATATTTGTTCCTGTAAGCCCTTCCCCTTTTTCCCTGAAATTCCCTCCCTCTCCCCTCTGGTCATTGTTAGCTTCTTCTCTATTTCAGTGTCTTTGGTTATATTTTGCTTGTTTGTTTATTTTGTTGTTTAGGTTCCTGTTAAAAGTGAGATCATATGGTATTTGTCTTTCACCTCCAAAATATATAAAGATGTTCCCTTTTTATTCTCCTTGTACTCTATGAGAGAAATATGAATAATCACTTCTGAATTACTGTTTGAGGGGTGATTTGCTCAACTCCATTGGGGGAAGTTCAAAAGATGCTTTAAGTATTCAATGTAAAGCTTTTAATTTGCATTCCTCTTCTTGTCCCAATCTGTACTTCCTCATTTCTCCCAGCCCAGTAAAAAACACCATTACTTTCTGAAGGCAGAAACCTGGTAGTAATCTTTCATGCCTTCAGTTGTCTGTAGTCACATTCAGTTTTTCAAGCCTTGTCCATTTTGCCTTCAAACCCTATTCTGTACCCATCCATCAGTTTCTATCTTTCAGACCACTACCCTTCAAACCAATGTTCACCTGAATTGCTCAGTTAACATCACAATCACTGCATCTTGTGGTTTTCTTTGGGTATCTTAACCAACAGAAATTTATTTTCTCACATTTCTGAAGGCTGGAATCTGAGGTGAACCAATCAGTAGGGTTAGTTTCTTCTGAGGCATCTCTCCTTGCTAGCAGACAGCTGCTTTCTCACTGTGTCCTTACATGGTTGTCCCTTTGTTTTTATTATCTCTGCCCTAATTTCTCCTTATAAGGACACCAGTCACATTGAAAAGGCCTACACATTTGACCTAATTTTGCCTTAATTACCTCTTGAAAAGCTCTGTCTCCAAATACAGTCACATTTTGAGGCACTGAAGGATAGGACTTCAATGTATGAATTTTAGAGGGGGGGCATAATTCAGTCCATAACACTTCTGATGCCAGGTAATAAAAGACTAGGCATCACCTTTTGTTCACTTTTGAGGCCCTGGGCTGCTATGTAAGATATATTTCTACTCTGAGGCACCGTATTATGAAGAAAACTATTGGACAGGCCATCTGTAGACACTCAGGTTCATGGCCCCAGCTGAGCCCAGCCTCTGAGTCATGCTGGCACAAAAAACAGGCATGGCAGTAAAGTCCTAATAACTCCAGCTGATTTCAGTCCTGACCCATCTGAGTTGCCCAGACATTCTGAGTCTTTCCAGATGATGCCCCATACTTCATGGAGCAGAGATAAGACATCCCACCTGCAGCCAATCCAAATTCCTGCCCCACAGGACCCATGAGCACAATAAATTGGTTGTTTTATGTCACTATAGGCGCCATGCTTTGTTACACAGCAACAGATAACTGACACACCATCTCGGGGTTTTCACATTTGCTCTTTTCTCCCCCTGGAATGCTCTTCCCTCTGCTCTTTATCATTATCCCTTGAGTCTTACCATAAACATCACCTCCTGGGAGAGATCTCTTCTGACTGCCAATGCAAAGTGTTCCCTTTCATTTGTGTTAGGGTTCCCCATCCTTCTCAAAGCTTCCATAAATATTTAACAGTACTTATTTACTTATTTTTATTATTATTCCCTACCTCCTCTGTGTTATTACTTGCTTTTTAAGAGAAGAAACCACTTTTCATTTGTTCATCCTGCATAGGATATGTCCATTTTGCTCATAGTAGCAGATTGTGAAATCCTTGGTACAGTATTGCTCTGTTCTTTTGTAAAAAATAATCATTGAAAGTAAACTGATTGAATTTAAAAAGAGGCTTGGTTAAATTTAAGCAGTAAACTTTTACTGAGTACCTGCTCTTGCTAGCTCAAATCTAGGAGCTGATGGAGTGTAACAGGATGCAGCCAGAGTGGGGGGGCCCAAATGGGGATTTGTAATTGGGGTCTAGAACTCAGGGTGTCCAGAAAATATTAGAAAAAATATATATATAGGATGTCCTTGTCCCTACAAGTCTGAGCTGGGGGATGGGATGCATGGAGCAGGGCCACTGAGAGTTGTCTTGAATAGCAACAGTTTTGCAGATAACCTCTAGAACGGTCATTTAACATATCTATAACTTTTAATTGGTTTCATAGATATGTTAAATAGCTGTGGCCATGCTTTGAGCCAGGGGGATGCGAGTATCTTCAACCCATGATGCAAATGGGAGGCAACTCTTCTTGGTTACAGCACCTGTGTGAGAGCTTGGAGATGACTGGCTTCACCCCATGGGACCATGCCTACCCAGACTTACTATGGCAGCCCAGTAAAGCCAAAAGAACACAGGAATACTGACAGGTGTAACTGATTGTAGGAGGAGTCAGAAATGGGGCTGCAGAGGAAGATTGGTGCTGGGATTTAAACCCAGATGTGGCAGCCATGCTGGGGGCTTTTTGGGACCACATGTAGTGTGTGTGGCCTTTTTGCCACCTGGCTTAGGAAGCAGGGCAGACTTTGCCTGGAAAAAAAAGAGTGAAAGGACTCTTGCTGGTGAGCCATGAAAAGATGCCACATGGTTTTGGATTAACTGGAGATCTCAGCAGCAACATAGCGGATGGTGCCAGAACCAAGGGGCTGCCTGAACCACGAACTTCTACTTCTTTTCCTGAAATACGGTATCCCTGGACTAGGTAAAGGGAAGAAAGAATGACTGTGCATTTGTGGGTATTCTAAAGGACTTCAGTATTTAATAAAAACATTAAGTCACTACTCTAAGTCTGTATAACTCTTAGAATAAATAATTCCTTTCCTTTTCACCAATCTCTGGCATTGAGAGACATCTTTCCCTGGTGGTGGGCAAGGTGAACCTAGTAGTGGGGGTGTCACAAGTGGGCACAGGTAACCAGGTTCTTAGTGATTGGGACAAAGAATTGAACCAAACACACAGAGTTCATAGTAGAGAACATGTGAGCAGGCCAACTCCAAGCAGAGATTGACCTCATGGGCTGGAGGGACTTTATTCTTATAGAGCGGATCCTTTCTGGCTAGTTTTGGTGGGCTTTTACTGAGTATATACAAGTAATTGCATTACTTTAAAGCTACTGTGCATGTGGTTTCCCATGATCCTCTCCGATTGGCCACCAGGGAAGAGGGTCCCACAATGCTATGGAATTAATCCCCGTTTCTCCTGGGGTCCCCCTGTACTAGGTTCACCTTTCCTTTCACCAGAGAATTATAGCTCTCCATGCTAGAGATTGGTGAAAAGGAAAGAAATTATTTATTTACGTTATACAGACTAAAAGTAATGACTTAATGTCTTTGTTAAAATCCCAAAGTCCCTTGAAACACCCACAAACACACACAGTCCTTCCTTTCCCCCTTTGCCCAGTCTGGGGTACCGTATCTCAGGAGAAGAAATAGAAGTCTGTGACTTAGGCAGCTCTCGGTTTTCCCTAGTAATTTGTGCTCAGCTGGCAGGCCTTCCTTAGTTCCCAGCACCATTGGTTGTGTTGCCAGGATCTCCAGCTAAAGCCGCGTGGTGATTCTTCTCATGGCTGCAGGGGAGGGGGGGAAGGGATCCCCCTTTCTGGGAGAGCGACGGTGGTGGTGGCTGCAGCAGCTGCAGCAGCAGCAGCAGCAACAGCAGCAGCAGCAGCAGCAACAGCAGCAGCAGCACCGAGAGGGCTAGCGTGGAGCTCATTGTGTCCTGGCCAGAGCAGGTGGCTGCAAGGTTAGCTGAGCCTGAGCTGTGAGAGCACAGGTGCAGCTTGCGGAGGCCTGGCAGTGGCTGCGGCAGCCAGGCAGTGACCTGGTGCTCCCGAGTCACTTACTGGTGGCCCCTTCTCTTGGGCCTCACCTGCAGAGCTGGCTGGGGCTCGGAGCCAGGCAGTAGAGGAGCTGCGGGTGGCTGCATCGCGGACGGTGTCTGCAGGAGTCCCCACTCTACTAAAGCCGTATGGTTCTCTCCTCAATGGCCACCGTCCTCCCTGCACTGCCACAGCTGCATGGTTCTCTCCTCAATGGCCACCCAGTCTGGGTCTTAAATCCCCGCACCAATCTTCCTCTGCAGCCCCATTTCCGACTCCTCGCACACTTGGCTTCACATGCTAGAACTCATATCCTTCCAGCTTTACTGGGCTGCCATCATGAGTCTGGGCAGGCGTGACCCCATGTCATGGAGCCAATCTTCTCTGAGCGCTGTAACTCCGGGGACCTGCCCCCTAGTCACATCTGGGTGGGGAAGTTACTTCCATTCCCCTGGCTCAGAGCTGGTCATAGCTATTTAGCGTATCTATGCAACCAGTTAAAGGTTATAGATATGTTAAATGACCACACCAGAGGGTAGCTGCAAGGCTGTTGCTATGCAAAACAGCTCTCAATGGCCCTGCTCTATTTGTCCCTTCCTCCAAGCCACACCTGAGGGGTGGGGGTGAGGACATCTTAAAATCACCTGGACACCTTGAGTTCTGAACTCCATTATAAATCCTTCTTTTGGGCACCCTTTGGCTGCACCCTCCTACAGGGGTGCAAGGGTGGGTCCATTTGGTAATAGTATATCGTTTTCCCCCCAAGTCCAGGTCTGTTCTGTAACAAGAGCAATGATAACCAAGAAAACCCAAATGTTAAATAGTCCTCTAGAAGAGAGAACAGTGGCAACTCAATCTTTTTCTACTTTTAGACATAGTCTCTGGGAACTTAAGGTTGGAATCAAAGTGATGAAATGACTGGGCTAAAAATGCTCATCACTGTCTGAACTTGGTTGGTGAGGTTGTTTCCAAGTTCTCTCATAAATACTAGGGCAAGCCTTAAAAAGTCTATGGACACTGCAGATTAAAGATTTAAGAACACTTGTGGTATATCTGTTAGAAACCAGGGAGGTCAATCCATGAAGAGGTCTGGAGGCTTTGGGCCCAAGGACTGGACTAGAGACTCAGGTCTCCAAATCAGTATTCTGACCAATAGGGAACAGAGCCATCAAACCATCGATGGGAGGAGGTGGTAGCACAGCCTTGACAAGTCTAGCTTCCCAATTCCTAAGCCACTTCTTTTTGAAATAGTACTTCCCCCCCCAAATTTTAGTTATTTCTTTCAGTTCTCATGAGTTATACATCTCCTCAACCCATAATCTGTATGTTTGCACCTCTTCCAAAATCTGAAAATTATGTGTGTGTAGGCTGTACAAGTGGGCAGGCGTGGATAGATATGTGGATTAAGAGGAAACAGAAATACGAAAAATGTGACAAATGTGGCAAAGTAGATTAAGGAACTGGCTGATTGTTCTCAGTAATTTCTATTGAAATCCAGAGTATGTCAACTTGAAAATAAGAAACCATGGACACTGCTTTGCAAGTCTGCCAATCTCATAACCACTCTGTGAGTAGGTATATAGTCATCTTGGTCAATCAAAAATGTTCTTAGAATATATTATAGGAAAATTTGGCCCCATGAAAATCATAAAGAGGAGGAGAAGTTTGGGAAGATCCTCAGGTGACCTGTCGTATAGACAGCACTGGAAGAGACCTTTAAAAAGCACTTGCATCGTTAGGTAAGGAGAAAAAGTAGAAACACTGACTGAGTTAAACCATGAAGGTCAAGACTCTTTTCAGGAGAAGGTCTCCTGTAAAATTCAGTCCATGTCAGACTTGAGGCTGTGGGTATCATTCTAAAAGACAGGAGATCCTTAGGCTCTCTCAGGTATGCTGACCCAGCCTTCTGATACCTGTACCTCAAAGTTTCACTATCTGGGTCCTGCCCTTCTGCTGCCTTGTCATTTTGGCTTTATGAGTCTGTGCTGTGGTCACTTTGACATCTTTTCTCAGCCTAGGGTCTTTCAAATGTTCCTTCTGCTGGTATTGTTATTCTAGCTGTGGCCTTGAGCATTTATTTGAAGTCCTAACAACTGGCTCTTCTCAATTCTGAATAATATGGCTCTTCCTGGTTTCATTGCTTATTCTTTTTATTCCACTTTTAGAGTTTTGCACACTGCTATTGATTAAACACATTGTAGTACATTTGATTTACAGACAAAGCCTCTAGGTTAAATAAAAAAATTCTGAGGTAAATCACAAAATTTGGTATTGTTCAAAATAAACTTCTAAGCAATTGACTACATTTGCCCCTTTTCATGCAGTTTCTGTGACTGCTTGCTCTTAGGTTGATTCTTGTCTTGGTCAACATGCAAATAATTTACACAACTTTTTTTTCTTTCTGAAAAAAAATTGAGAAAAGTGAATTTATTGAAGTAAATTGTATTTCATGTTCTAAGATTCTTTTTCATTCCATATATCTACATTACTTATAATGAAGTGATTTGGGGAAGTTCTCTTAAAGATAATTTTTCTATTGACTGAAAAATTTCTATGAAATTCTTTAGCATGAATAGTCCTGTGATAAGTATATTTAAGGAAATCAAGATAAACAGAAGACCATTTTTGATAACTAGGCATAACTTAGAGAGAAAGAATAAAAAGTTACCACAATTTAGAAAGAACATCTGACTTAAATGAATATTAAATTTACATTTTTTATTTTTCAATTATAGTTGACATTAAATATTAATTTCAGGTATAAAACATAGTGATTAAACATTTATGTACCTTACAAAGTGAACCTGCAATATGTCTAGAACCCATCTGGCACCATACATAGGAGCATTATTTAAAATAGCCAAGAACTTCTAACTTTAAACAGGGGTTGAATAAATATCTAGGTATTTTATTTCTGTTTAAATCAAGAAGTAAACCACTTATTAAATCTGCAGATGACTCAAAACTGAGACATTATTATTATTTTAATGTTTATTAATTGATTTGTGAGAGAAATGAACAGGGATGGGGAGAAGGGAGAGAGAGAGAGAAAAAAAAAAACCCTTTCATTTGTTGCTCCACCAATTCATGCATTCATTAGTTGTTTCCTACATGTATCCTGATGAGGGATCAAACCACAATCTTGCCATATTGAGACAATATTATAACCAATTGAGCTACCCAGCCCGGGAAAACTGGGTGGCATTTTTAGTGTCAGATTAAAGGACTAAGAATGAAAAAGATCTTGAAAGGCAAGAAGGAAAGTGTTGAAACTAATAGAGATAAATGTGAAGTTCTCAAATTTGAAAAAAAATTCTGCAGAAACTGTTATTTCCATATAAAAAAGTCTGTTTAATTGTCCTCTAGCTACAATTAAGACAACAAGGGAATGTGACAATTGAGCAAGCTCTCACAACCTTTGGCTGCATTATAACAGCAGAACATACAGGACCATCAAAGGAGATTACTGTTCCCACATGGCTCAGATGACACCTTGACATTCATACTTGGTTCTAAAAGGGGCATTGCATAATGAGTTGTCCCCAGAAGATGGTGACCAGAATCTAGAAATGTCCTAAACATAAAGTCAGAAATAGTGGAAGGACTTGCAGTTGTATATCAAGAAGAGAAAGACTTAAAAGGATAAGAATAGGAATGCTGTTTCTAAATGTCCAAAGAAACGTCAAGTAGAAGAATGAGACATTTTGGGTTTTTGTAAAGATTAAGTCTAGAATGCATGGAAATTACTAAGAAGCAGGACTCAGATTGAAGATATTCAATTCAACAAAAGCTTAATGACCTATAATGTTCTGAGCATTGACAATAAAAAGATAATTGGGGTTCAATTTCTGCTCCGCAGGTTATATTTTAGAAGGGGAATAAAAGTTCTGAGCATTCAGTTTCAACATGTGTGAGTTGTTTCATCCCCACTAACAGGCAATCCAATACTCTGGCACCAGCTGGGTGTCCTATGATTTAATACAATTTTGATACTATCTACCCAGATATATATCCACAGGTTAAGGGGTCAGTCCTAAAACACTGTACTGACCATGACTGCAGGTGCCAGTCATAAATCCAGGCCCTCTCCTGTGCTTTTGGTGTGGTGACGAGGATTTCACCAAGTAAGAAGGCAGTCAAGAATAAAATCTTGGTGAAGTCAGTAATTTAAAATCAGGAAGGAAAGGGAGTTGTCAGGTAAAAACTTTGTTTCAACATAGACATGGTACCATTCTGGAAAATCTATGATAATGGATGCCAGAACTTGGAGATGTTGGTTTATGACTTAAAAACTCATTAGTCCCCAGTGATTTTGTGAATATGAAAATAGCTGAAGCTTGAGGGTGATTTTGCAGGAAGATTTATGTCCTACTATGGTGTCCTCATTTCTCCCTTTCCCATGTTTCCAATTCCCTCACATTTTTGTATATGTTCAGAGTCAATCTGCCTCTGGTATGTCTCAAGCTCTCTAACATACTCTTTCATGTCAAAAGCAGCATATTTGGGTTAGTGCTCACTCCAGCCCTTGAAATTCTTGGTGTCCTAATCATTATCTGTAAAATACTTACATGATTTTCAGACAACTGATAAGTAGCTCACTTCTTAGAGTCATTACAAGTGTGTCATCCTTTGAAAGATATTGCCAGACTAAGTTGTGGTTAATAACTCAGTAATCCACACACAAGAGTAGCTCTATTGTCTTTGAGCAGAACATCTTCATTCTCATATGCAGACACAGTCTAGTATAGTGGAAAGGAGCGGAGTCTGGATTAGGTTTTGGGTTCCAAATGTGACTTTATTACTTTTTAAGACTTATTTTCTTTATCTGTAAAATGGGAATGATATATAAGCAATGTGACTCTTCTTGTAATTAAATAAAATAATGAAGAAAAACACTTGGAATAATATATTACACTTCATGGACTTATCCCAAATGGTAATTACTACTTCAAATTTTATTTTGGAAAACATATTTTCTCATCCCTTCAATGTATGCAAAAATCTTAAATCTAGTCTTTAAAGATATATCTTTCACCTAGGCCCACCAGGATAAAAGACTAAGGAAAAAAGCATTGTGTTACTCACAGTACTGTCATGGTACTGATAA